TTCCAGTCCTGAAGTCATACACAGTTGTTTCAACAGAGTTCAATGCATAAATCAGAGTCAAAGTCCTTGTAAATTAGTTCAGCAGTCATATACCATGTGTTCAGTCCAGTAGTCAGAGTTCTTCTCCCAATATATAGCATGAAGACACGGCTTCTTCCAGGATTTCTCCAGCACAGCACCACGACAGCAACATGACACCAACCCAACAACACCAACGACACCAACAGAGTGTGTGTGCTAGGTCTGCTAGCTTTATCCCAGGGTTATCCAATCCTGGGATTTCTTCCTCAGCTGTTACAAGTAACTCAGCTGTATAAATTCTAGCCTTACTTCTTTCTACAGCACTGATTCTTATAAACACTTATTGCATAGTACAAAATTGTATTCAACAATTCCTCCAGGTTTATCTTAAACCTGTCAAAGAGGAACGAGAAGGAAAGGGAAAGGGGTTAAGAAGGGGGCTTGGAAACCTGGCTCCTGGTCCATTGAAGGGAGGAGAAGCACAAGCGACATCAGAAGCATCTCAGCTCAAACACAGACAGCAAACGGCATAACTGGCTTCTTTTCCCTCTCCCCAGGGCACCATCATCTTCCCTGTCCTGACCTCTGCTCTGTATGACAGCAAAGAGTTTCCAAACCCCACAGAATTTGACCCACAGCATTTCTTGAACAAAGACGGGACCTTCAGGAAGAGTGACTACTTCATGCCCTTCTCGGCAGGTAAAAGGGCTCTTCCCTCAATGGCCAGTCTCCCAGCCAATGGCGCTCCTGACCAGCTCCTTAGGGGCTTCCTCGTCTCCCACCACTGTTGCAGGGAGGGGACACTGATAGGGCTCAACCTCAAACCCTTCCTGACTTATCCTTACCAGTGAGGGCAAACAGTTACGTAAAATGAGGGTGGTGATTGCTTCCTCATGTTGACTTTTAAGGCTGTTGAACATCAGAGAGAGTGTTTAAACCTTCTTATTTAGCCATTCCTTCTGGTCTCTCTCTCTTGCTCACTCTTTGTGTGTGTGTTTCCAACCGGTGGAGAACTTGAGGGAAGTGCTCCATCTCCCCCTCTTGCTTGGAGGTGAGGCGTCTCATTCCAAAGAGAATGACAGTAGCATCTTCTTCTTAGGTTTTTTTTTAGCCCTTTAAGATCTCAAAGCAGTGGACTGGGTGCTTGCATCTTTTTCAACTATCAGCCCTTTCTGCTAGGCTTGCTAGGAATATGCATGCTTCTTAAAGGGAAACGGGCATGAGATTGTGCAAATTAGGAAGAAACAGTGGCTGTTTTCCTCCCTCTTGCCAAGAGGGCAGGCATGTATCAGGCCTGAGGGGTTTGCCAAGTCAAATCAGCCTGAAATTTAGCTCCTCGTTGGGCAAGAATGCCACAGTCTGGGCTTCACCTCTCCTACCCTGCTTTGCCCTTCCCCACCACAATGACCAAAAATGAGGCTGCAGATAATGTTCTGAGGAGGTGTTCCTGGAAGGCCACATTCCCCTTGACCTTGTCATGAGGTTTCCCTCCAACCGTTGAGGAAGATTCTCTTCTTGCTTACCTTCCCGCCTTGGTTTCCCTTGCAGGTAAACGAATCTGCGCAGGGGAGGGCCTTGCCCGCATGGAGCTGTTCCTCTTCTTGGCTACCATCCTGCAGCACTTCAAACTGAAGCCCCTCCAGGATCCCAAGGACATTGACCTCACCCCTTTCCTGAGCGGCGTCGGCAACCTCCCTCGGCCTTATCAGCTCTGCGTTCTCCCTCGTTGAGGAGAAGGAGGCCTCTGGCCCACCGGAAACCATCTGGCAGTTGACCCGTTCAGACCTTGGGACTGAGCCTGTCTATACTTTCCAGCCTACCTTGTCTGGGCAGCAAAACTGTAAACCCCTGAGAGCCCTTTGCTTAGAAGCAGAGAATCTATTTTCCTAGAAGGAGGGCCTGGAACTCAGAACATGCAGCAACCTGCTTGAATTTGTTTTCCTCAAATGGCCTATATTTGTTCCTTCTTTCTTGTTCACCACAAGATGTGCTTTTCACTGCTATAAGCTTTTGTGTTTTTGGACTGAGATAAGATTGAACTTCATGTCCGTAACCTTTCTAGCTAAAAACGTATAATTGATATATATTTGTCTGACTTATAAGTATTTACCTGAAACCTCGAGGCAAAATCCGGAGCTGGAGTCCCGAAGGCAGCTCTTGTCGTTCTGCCAACTCCTGCGACGTTGCTGGAACCAGTCGTATTGGCTCTTGCCTTTCCATTGGACCATTTCAGCAACGTGGAGAGGGGGGATTTGCTGCTTGGGTAACAGCCTATCCTCCATATTACCTTACGCGGGCTTCATGCTCTGGAGAGGACATTCCTCGATTCAGAGCATGTTACCATAGTCTCTCGAGACTGAAGGATGCCTATGATGATGATGAAGTATTTACCTATACCTTAAGTTCAGTCTTTATGCATTTTCAGTATTGGTATCTGCTGCTTTATCTGCTTTATCTACTACGTTCCCATAGTCTCTTGAGACTGAAGGATGCCTACATCATATCTACTGCTTTTGTTCACGGCTGTAAAAATGATATGTTGGATCATATGTCTTTGACTTCTAAAAGGTCTTCATGTTTTCAGTAGTTTCTGGATTTTTGTGCATAGAAGTAATTAAAACTTGCAGATATAGACAATCTAATGCTGCCAGGACTCATTTCTCTCTGTTTACTTCACCATGAGTGGAAATCATGGTTTATTCTTATCCTCTGAAGTGAGACTTGTTTGGAAGCTACTTTTCTCATGAACCAGGCAGGAGCAAGCAAATAACTTATATCTCGATAACACGTTAGAATTTTGATATGATGGTGTTAACCGGCTGTAGGGGAAATACTCCCTACAACCCCCAACAATCCCCAGCCAAAAGGCAAATATGCTCCGTTCAGAAGAGTTTATTTACAATTCTGCAGAATTGGAGAGATCCCCAGTAAGAGAAAAACCCGGGGTCTCTGCCGAAAACAGGATACACAAGATTATAAAGGGCTGTCTCCTAATGAGCTCACAGTCTTGGAATTTCACCAAATAAGGTCATAAAACCCCTTGCAGCTATTTTATTGGCGGTCAAGCAGGGGGCCAAAGCAGGGTTTTTCTATACAGGCAAATTTCTGTGTTCGTGGCAGTCCTCCAGTAGATGGCGGCGAGGGCACATGCGCAGATGTTCCATGAATGAACCAAACTATATGTTCTTTATTTTTACAATGGCCACGATTGTCTGGTTCACACTGGTATTCAACCCTATCAGGGATAAATGTTCTGGTGCTAGAGACCACGACAGACTCCAAATACTAATTAATAACCACGTGTCATGAAATAAATCCTGACTTTTACGGGGACCCTTTTCAGGCTTTTCCTTCCCTTCTTCTGGAGGCATCCTGGGACTACGCCAAGGTCACAAGAGGTGGCTTTACTCGGAGGAAGGCCCAGCATTGATTGCTTGATAAGCTCCCCCTTTCTTCTGGGCCATGATTGTCCCACAGAAACTATCTTTGTTGAATAGAAACAGATGAAAAGATTTTTGCTTGTTAGGAAGACTTAGGGCAAGTGCTGAGATGAAAGTTTCTTTTGGCTTCTTAAATACTTTCTACTTTTGATTTTCCCATACCAGCACATCAGGTTGACTTTCTCCTAACTTGGAGATGAGGGGATTCGTCAACTCTGCATATCCCTCTAACCAGATTCAACTGAAGTTGACAGTTCCCTGCAAACTCCTCAACTGTTTCTTCTTTCTAACAAGTTCTAGACCTAGGATCCCCCATATTTATTTTGGATCCAACTGTGTCTTTCCCTCTTCAAGATAATGTCCAATATATTTTATCTGGGTCTGACAGAATTGCAATTTCTTTTCTGATACCGTCAAACCTATTTTCCCCAAGTACTTCAATAGTCTGATGGAGCTTCTCCTTACGGCTTTACCCTCTTTCCCACTCAAAAGCAGATCATCTATGTAACAGCCTCCTTATACCTCACAAAGGGGCCATTATGTCACACTCAATCACTCTTCGTTTCCACTGCCACCAACCATTCCCTCAAATGAAGCTTCAGGCCAAAGTATGATTTAAAAATAAAAACTTAGGTTTATTGTGTACAAACAAAAGGAATGGTAAATCACTTGAATATAAATAATAAAGCAATCACTATAATAATATAACAATCACACACACACACTCTCACAGACTCTCACTATGTAGCACAGTTCTTATCTCACAGTATCTCCAAGCCCTATCTCCCTATCTCAACCGTATCTCAAAGCCCTATCTGACCCTCTCACACCATTCACTCCCCTTATATATAACAGCTCCACCCCTTATGTCCCACCCTCCGTCACGCCATTGGTAGATGACACACAGCTTCAGCAGTGACGGGCAGGTGATGTCATAGCTGTATGTAACAATCTACATCTTGTGTCAGAACCACTCCCTTCTCAGGGACCCAGTCCTGAAGGACCTGGGTCAGCACTTCTCCAAATATCGTTGGATTTTCGGAGTACCCCTGAGGCAAGACCTGCCATTCAAATCTATTGACAATCCCAGTCACAGGGTGGGGCCATTGAAAGCAAACAACTGTCTGGCAGATTTTTCCAGGGGCACTGAGAAAAACGCTCACTTGAAATCTGTTATTGTTTAAACCATGTGTTCAGGTGATATCCCGTTCAAGATAGTGTATGGACCTGACACTATAGGAGCTGTAGGTATTACTACTGCATTTATTTTTCTCAAATCTTGAACCATTCTATAAGTCTCATCCGGCTTCTTAATTGGTAGTATTGGGGTGTTATAGGGGGAGACTGATTCCTCAAACAAACCATCCTTTATCCATTCCTTCAATTCCAATTACCACCCTAATAATTGCCCCTGAGGGTTAACTTCCCTCAATGGTGACTGAGAGTATAGATATTGTAGCTCCTGTATTCACTAAGAAAGTTACCTCCTCTCCCTTTGGTCCCACTCCAAATTTATCAAGGGCTCTGTGGAGGTTGGACCAAAATACAGATACCCCTGACATCCCTAATCTGAATCTTCATATTACAGAGCCTGCAAGTATGTCTCCTGATCCTTTTCTTGCTTTTTCCCCATGCATTCATTTTTCCAGTGCCCTTTTTCTTTACATATCACACAGACATCTTGGGGCAGAGGAGTCCTTGTCCCTGAGCCCCTCCTTTCCCTTACAAATCTTCCTCTCCCATTCCCCTGACTTTCCTTCTCTTGATACCACGCCCGTCCTCATCCCCTACCTCTCCCTCTCGTTCATCCCCTGTCAGGCACATTCACCTCCTTCACTGCTTGCAATATCAGCCCAACCTTTCTTTTGTCTTTCTCCATATCTCTTCTTACCATAACTTTTCAAGCCTTTTTAACCAACTGTCCCAGAGTCTGTTCCGATAGATCATCTACCCACTGAAGCTTTTTCTTTATGTCTGGGTACGACCCGGAAATAAACTGGAGTTTCAGTGCTGCCTCATTTTCAGGAAGCTCATTCCCTTCTTGAGTCTTTCTACATATTCGTCTGGCATTTCCTCCTTCTTTTGAGGGGCTCCGAAAGCTAATATTTACTGCCCTAGGGATAGATTTAACTAGCCCCTTAAGCACTCGAGTGCGATACTCTTCACATGCTTTCCTTCCTTGGGCTTCTTGGACATTTATATTTGGGGGTTGTTGGTATGGGATTGCTGTTTCAGCCTGTATGGGTGTCCTATCAGCCCCCCTTGACAGCCACAATTCACATGCTTTCTGCACTGCTCCCAAAAACTTCTCATTGCTCGTGACTTGCTTCAATATAAATATAAACTCGTGGATTGAATATGTTGATGTCCTAAGCACTCCCTCTAGATCTTTTACAAATCCCTCTGGGTCTTCTGTTAATTTAGGTAACTCATTTCAGATAGCTCTTAGTTCCATGGAAGTTAAGGGGGCATCCACATACCCAATCTGTCCTCCTCCTTATGGGACCTGATGGAGTGGATTAAGATTTACAGCTCCATCTTCCTTTCCTTCACCGCCTCCAGCCCTACCAATGTCTGTGGGATTCTCTTTCCCAGTTTGGAAGGATCGACCATCCCCATGATGGTCATTTCCCTCCAGCACACCTTTAATTTCCCTTCGGCTTGTTCTACCTGCTGCAACGGCCCCTCTAGCTGGATAAGGAGGTGGCAGCTGACCCAGGGGTGGCAAGTGATCCAGGGGATCCCACTCCTCTCTTTCTCGTGGAGCCGAATTGTTGGGGTTTTTCTCGCGGAATTACGGTTTTCAGCAGTTTCAGCAGAGTATATGGCGGTCTAGGCAGTCCAGCAATAAACACACGCAGTCCGGCAGCATTTCGTGCAGCAAAAGTGTATTTACAGCAGCAGCATGGCAGGCATATGTGATCTCCAACCAAGTGAAGATAATACTGACTGTACAAGTCTACATATATACATTTCCACAACCAATCACAATACAGATTACATCATTCCATTACATCAGCTCTAGGTTGCATCAGCCTTGCTGAGTCACCCTGACTCATTCCCAGCACACCTGACAGACATGGTTGCTTATTATAGCACTTTATTCGGGTCAGGCCTATAATTTATACTTGACACCCCTCCAAATTTTAGGGTTGAGCAGAATATGCTTCCAGTTTATCTGTTAATTCCACATGTTTCTGTATGCTCAGGGATTTTATGTGCTATGTTCCCCTCTGACTCTCATGTCCTTACTTGTTTACCACATATCTCATGTGTGTACCCTGAGTTACCCATGTACCTTTTGTATTTTATTCACCACCACTTATGTCATACCCACACCAAACCTCTTTGGTGGGATTCCCTTATTGGCTCTTTGTGACCTCCTAGGTGTATGCCTTTCTTCTTTCATTATGTGTTCATTTCCTGACTCACTACAAGCCCCATCTTCCTCTTCTTCTTCTTCTGATTCATCACTGCAAGTTTCTTCAGCCGCTTGCTTAGGCTCTACCTGACTTCTGTGTTCCCTTTTT